ACAGGATCGGGCTTGTTCAGGGTGGCATGGCCATACACTTGCAAGTGTTGTTTTTCTTTTTGTGTTTGTTTTTTTTATAAGAGTAGCCATGGCTTGAGCTTGTGTGACATTGGCTATGACACTTAGAGCCTCGATAAGATGTTAGGGCCTTAAAAAGATATGATAATAACTCCTGAAAGAAGAAATAAAGTCTGAAAGATTTGAGATTGGCTATAACTTTACAAGAATTAATTTAGAATATTTTGCAAAGAGACGAAGTTAGTACTAAGGACTAGAAGACAATGACGGGAAAAGGACACGTTTTCAGATGACAAAGGAAGGCGTACCTCTAGACGTACAGGAGAAGCGTGCTGCACACCTGAGTGAGGCCGAAACAGAGGTGAGGGGAAAGCACCTGAATTTCTCCTCATGAGGGCCTGAAGTGACATTTACTCATCAGTATCATCGAAATGAGAAAAAAAAGTAGCAGCGAGGAGCGTGGAATGGGGCAAAGGGCTCAATTTTAAGCTATATTTTGTCCTGCCATGTCAAGGGCTCTGAAGGATAAGTGTCCCATTTCCACTGTCATCCAGAGGTGCCACACAGTAGTCACTTACCACTGGCCGCCATTTTTAATTCTTTCTATCTCACTCTTATCTTTACATTAGGGATCGAAAGGAGACTTAAGACACAAAGGTGGAGGGAAGGGTCGGTCTATGAAAGTAGATTTGAGGGTTGTTTCTTACATCTTTAAATGGCCCCTACTCAGAGCACTTCCATCAGCCTTAGTGATTTCTGAATCAAAAGATGCGAATCAGAAATGTAAGCTAAAATCAGAAGCAGGGGCTGCCAGTTTCCAAACCAAAGCTGGGATCTAGAAACACCTGAACACACTGTAAGTAACCAATAAACCCTGCCATATTTGAATTAATAGCCTGTATAAGAAATCGAGTCCAATCAAATCATTAATTTTTTTTAAAGTGACATATGAAACAGCAAAACAGTGGAAAACTTCTCTGTAGTAGAAGAACTTTAGAAATATAGGATAGCATTCAACTTATTTTATTATACCTTTTGGAATATAAGAATGCTAGAGTTACAAAAATTTGGAAGCTTCAACAGAATAGAAAAAGAGATTCAACTTTCCTGGTTTCAAAGGAGAGTCAACTCTGTAGCTTTGAAAGATCTAAGGAAAATAGTTGGCCTAAAATTAACAGATCATGTTTCCAAATTTCTGGGAATTTATAATTTGGGGAGATGGTGGTTTTGGTATGAGCTTTCTCAAAACATATTTGGCTCAACAAAGTAGATCTCAGTCCCCTTTTTTTTTTTTTTTTTGTAAAACAAACCTATCTATTGTAAATATCGAATATTTAGAATTTGGATTAAATCTAATCCATATTACGATGGCAACGGGGACACTTTTCCTACCACAGAGTAACCAAAATCCCAGTGATTTTTAGAGTGAAATGGATCCCAAACTAAATCATAGCCCGTTAACAAAACTACTTCTCAATGCAAACAGTACCACCTCGGATTTGTCCATGGCTTCATGGCGTTAGTCATTGCCCCACATATCATTTCATGTATTTACCACAATAATCCCCCATAGCTGAATGAACAGATATTATTCACCTGATTTTACAAAATAAGAAACTTAGAAATGGAAATATTCCTTGATTTTTCTAATATCGTATGAGTAGAGCTAGTACTCCACACTAGATTTTATGGCACCTACTCTAGGATTACTAGTGGGGTCTCATCAGGTCTAGTCAAAGCCAGAATATTGTTAAGCACAGAATATGTTAGTAACAATATTGAAACCTGAGGATCTCACAATATGGTCAATTGATTTTTGACAGAAGTGCTAAGACACTTCAATGGAGGAATGAATAGTCTTTTCAATAAATGGTGCTTAGGTAACTGGATATCCAAAAGTAAAAGACTAAAGTTGGACTCCTACTTTGCATGATACACAAAACTTAACTCAAAATGGCCTGTAGACCTAAAGGTAAGAGATAAACTTCTAGAGGAAACAGGAGTGAATCTTCATGACCTTGGATTAGGTTTCTTAGCGACACCCGAAAGCTCAAATGACAATAGAAAAGTAGATAAATTGGACTTCATGAAAACAAAAACTTTTGTGCTTCAAAAGGCGCCAACACAGAATGAGAGAAAATATTTGCAGATCACATAATGATAAGGGACTTGATTAATATATAAATAAATCATACAATTCAATAATTAGAAGACAAGTCACCTAATTACAAAATGAACAAAGGATCTGAATAGTCATTATCTCCAACTTAGATGTACAAATGGCTAATAAGCACATGAGAAGATGCTCAACATCATTAGCCATTAAAGAAATGCAAATCAAAACCACAGTGGGGTACGACTCCACACTCACTAGGATGAATTTCTTTTAAAAGACAATATCAAGGGATGACCAGGACGCGGAGAACTTGCAAGCTTCATATACTTCTCGTTGAAATATAAAATGATGCAGCGACTTTGGAAAACAGTTTGGCAGTTCCTCAAAAAATTAAACATGGAGTTGACATGTGACCCAGGAATTCTATTGCTATACTCAAGGAAAATGAGGACATATGTGCACACAAAAATTTATACATGAATGTTCATAGCAATAGTATTTATAGTAACCAAAAAATAGAAATAACCCAAAGGTCCATCTACTAAAGAATAGATAAACAAAATGTGGTATAACCCTAAAATGGAATGTTATTTGGCATAAAATGGGTGAAGTACTGACACATGCTACCACATAGAGGAACATAGAAAACATTTTGCTAAGCGAATAAGCCAAACAAAAAGGATCACATATTGTTCAATCCCATTTGTATAAAATGTCCAGAACAGGCAAATCCATTAAGAGACAGAACGTAGATTAGTGGTTACCCAAAGCCTGAAGACAGGTGGGTAGTGAGAATGTGGAGTTACTACAAACGGGTTTGAGATTTCTTTGGAATGTTGAAAATATTCTGAAATTAGATTGTGATGAATACACTAAAAGCCACAAAACTATGCACTTTATAAATGGACGAATTTTATGATATGTGAAATGTACTTCAATAAGCCTGTAAAAAAAGTCAATGTCCCCCCACAAATCTGTAGGAGATAATTTTGTGTCTACACAGTCCTAGAAAACTAATAAATCCAATACCTGCCTATTGAGTGCTTGCAGTAGATCATGATAGCTACTTGCTTCATTACATTTTACCTTGTGTCTTCTTGAAAGGTCATTTTAATGATTGATTTATTCAACAAGTAGTTTTCGAATGCGTATTCTGTGCTAGATATGGCACCAGGTGCTTGCAATAGATGCCTCATTTAATACAACAGCCAAAGATCCCTGCCCGTGTGGAGCTTGCATCCTATTAGATGTGTCTCGATTGTATGCTCAAGTACACCTTAGTTCTTAGGGCTCATTCTAGGGGATACTTTTCAAGTGTGGGGTGCCACTTTCCAAAAACTTCACTTTCTTCATCATAATGTGCCCATGGTTTCAATATGATTCCATTCTTTTCACAGCTTGGCTGTCGTCAGTTATTAAATTCAGTTTGAGGTCAAAAGGAAAGAAAAGTTTCTTTAGAATTTTTGGAGTTTCAAGTAAATGTTTCTATAGATAGCTACATTTATTTGGAATGCCTCAAAGGCAACTAGAAACGATGGCGTGAAAGTAATAATAGTAAGGGAAATTGAGCCCAGTGACTAACTTCCTTGAAATATTAGCCCGAGTTCCACATTCTATCCTTGTCCATCAATGCATTTTAATTTTTTTCTTTTGTTCATTAAACATTTGGCAAATACGTCTATGTGCTAATCTGACATAGGACACGATCTCATGTTTTGCTACAAATGGCCAGTGACCGTCATCTTCTCAATAAGAAGATGTCTCCAGTAGTCTCTTTGCTGTGTCTTATAAGGATCAGGAATAAAACTCAAGGAATTCTGGCCTCTAGAAACAGGGCATGATTTCTCTGAACGAGCCATCAATGGGTTTTTATCCTGAACTCCTGGCCCTACTTCAGCTTATCTCATTCGTAGAGAATGAAATTACTCCAGTTTAATAAAGTATCCCAAATCAAAAGGGCTTAATGACTGAGCCATGTCTCCTCCCTGAGATATGCTACGGTAATCAATGCTGTTGTCATTCTTTGTAACATCGCAGCTTCTCCCGTGCTGTGTTAAAATCATAAAACTCGTGCGTGCTATCTCCATTTCCCACAGCTGTGATTTCTGGGTCTCTGTTTATGAATAAGCATTTTGGAATTGTCATGAGTTGGAGGAAATAGCATGTATAGTTATTTCCCAAGCCCAGTTGCCAAGAATGAGCTAATTCTAACCCTCCCTTGCAGACAATGAGTCAAAAACTTCAAATACAAGCCATTCTATAATGATCTACCTACCTTGCAAGGAGAATGGCATGTTTTCATTGTAGAACCTTGGTCTTTCAGAAGTATACCAGAAGTAAAATTTTAAAAGATTAATAAAATATTTATCCTTTGATTTTTATAGTGATTCAATACAAAGTTGATGTCTGTATTTAAAAGAAAAGTTACCTTGCTTTTGAAAAATTTACCCAAAAGACATTGATAGTAATCTGTCCCCCATAAATGAATAATATTTGTTTTTTATGTTTAATAGGCCAAAATTACACTTTCTCTCAAAATATAAAAGTAGGAATTGCAAATATATTTCAAGTGTCAATTTCCAACTAATTGGTAATAGCTATATACATGTGGTATTAAGAAAGATTCTGAGGCTTGGTCTGACTTAGCAGAAAAACTGCTATCATTGGATAATAATGTTTTCCAGGTTTGCAAGATAGGGAGTGGACATGTAAGTACTAGATTCGTCATCCTTGCATAATTGAAAGAAGAGTTAATATTTAAAATATGTATTTGGTGGTTACCATAAACATACTAGTCTACATTAAAAAGAGCATTTAACTGAAAACAAAGGCCAAATTAACGCTTACCATTTTATCTATCCTGTAGGTCAATGCATCACGTCAAGAAGCCAAATTGATGGAGGAGTGTGATCTCCTCATTGAGATCATTCAGCAAAGACGACAAATTATTGGAACCAAGATCAAAGAAGGGAAGGTAAAATTCCTAGGACAGAAGATTTCATATTCTCTACCTGGAAAAAATATCATACTTCCCGTGTACTTTAATAGCTTCGGAAATATTAATGCCCCCTTTTTCGATATTTTCTATAATCTCCCCTTAAGTCTTTAATACATAATTCATTTTGTTTGTGCCAGGGTAAGTACTAGACTAATTGGGAGAATCACTTCATAAATTATATAAATGTCTAACCACTATGCTGCACACCTGAGGCTAATATAAAACGATATTGAATGTTAACTCTAATTGCCAAAAGAAAAAAAAAAAACAATAGTTCAAAGCCCCTTGGTTGGCCATTTTTTCTCCACCCCTGTCTTTGTATTGTCGGGCGCACCTGTAATACAAGGGCTGCTCTATTACCCAACTCCAGGAAGCAGCATGGAGTTCTGGTCTATTATAGCCATTCTTTTCCATCTCTCTTCTCGAGGAAGACTTCATTTCATATTTATTGCTATATCCCAGCAACTAACACAGTATTAAATAAATGTTTAAGTGAATGGAGCTTTATATATAGAAATTATGAAGTTTTTTCCCTTGAGGGAATTTAGACATGTATAATTTCATGGTGGCAAAACTCCTGTAGTGTCACTGTATGATATATTACTCTCTGGATATATTAATAGGACTTCTTTTCTAATGTTTCTAATGTTCCTTTGGCTTTATAGTAAACTATATTCAAAAAGTAATTTACAAATTTCTTTTCTATTTTTGTAGTCACTTTCTCATTTATTCTAAATTCATTCAGAGACTGTTGGTAACTTTAGAATCCATCACTTTATTCTATTTTTAAATTAGTCACATTTATGTTGAAATACCTAGGATCCATTTTATTTTACCTATTTCTCTACCACCCTCAAAAGATAATTTTGTAAATATTTTAAAAATAGAAACATTTATTCAAGATGCAATAAATTCATGTCTTTCTTTTATTACTGCTCATAACTATACTTTAAGAAAATATGTATACTTAAATCAAGTTAGCAAGTATTAAGTAGTACATAGATTACAATAGCTAAATAATGTTTTCTGCAAAATTTAAAAGGCACTTCTAATATCGTATAATGTTTAAATTACTTTGTCTATATAGATTGAAAAATATTTACACATGTACATTGTGATGGCGATCAGAAAAGTTAAAGTCTAATCAAATAGTTGTCGAAGCTGTTACAGTGAATCAACAAATTAATATGAAATTATTCCCTGGCCAGCAACTGACTCAGATGTGTTGAAAAGCTACTTTACCCACATACAAATTGTACATCTTAGAAGAGCACTGAGCGTCATCCTGGAATCCTTATAGGATACAGTTCCTCCTCCCTCATCACGCACCACATGTGAACATCTCTTAATACCTGGCCTCTTCTAGGTTCTCAGACACACGTCTGCCTGAAATACATCTGCGATTAATGATCGATATACATATGGAAGGTGATTTGTTGCCTTTACATGGTCACGTGCAAGGTTTAGTTCTCAACACGCTCATATTCGTTTCTTATTGATGCTGTAACAGATGACCACAAACACAGTGGCTTAACACAACACAGATTTATTATCTGACCTTCTAGAGATCAGAAGTCGAAAATCAGTCTCACTGGGCTAACGTCAGGATTCTGGCAGTGCTGTTTATTTCTGGAAGCTCTAGGGCTGAATCCATCTCTTGCCTTTTCCAGCTTTTAGAGGCCACCCACATTCCTCAGCTCATGGTTTCTTCCTCACCTCACTGACATTTGCGTCCATCCTCAAATCTCCTTCCTTGACACAGACTCTCCTGATTCTCTTTCGTATGGATCCTTATAATTACATTAGGATATTCCAGACAATCCAGGACAGTATGCCCCATCTCAAGAGCCTTAACTTAATAACATCTGCAATGTCCCTTTTGTCATGTAAGGTAACATAGATATATATTTGATTTGTGGTTCTTTTTGTTTGGTATTTTATATTAAATTTATTGGAATAACATTGTTTAATAAAGTAAATTTCAGGTATACGGCTTTATAATACAACATGTGTATGCACTATTGTGCGCTTACCACCTGGAGGCTTCGTCTCCTTCTGTCACCTTTTATTTGACCCCCTTTACCCTTTGTCCTTCCCACTCCCCTTCCCCACTGGTAATCATCATTCTATTGTCTGTATCTATGAGTTTGTTTTTTTGTTCGTTTTCTTTGTTCATTTGTTGCTTTTTATTTTATATTCCACATACAAGTGAAATCATATGATTCTTGTCCTTTTCCATCTGACTTATTTCTGTTGGCATGATGCTCTCAAGATTCCTTCATGTTGTTGCAAATGGCAATATTTCATCTTTTTGTGGCTGAGTAGTATTCCATTGTGTATATCATCTTCACTGTTTCCATGTCTTGACTATTGTGAATAATGCTGTAATGAACATAGGGGTAAATATAGCTTTATAAACAAGTGTTTTCAAGTGGGGGGGGCGGGTAGATAGCCAGAAGAGGGATTGCTGGGTCATATTCTTAATTTTGGGGGGAACCTCCATACTGTTTCCCATCGTGGCTGTACCAATTTACTTTCCTACCAGCAGCGTGTGAGGGTTCCCTTTTCCCCGCAACCTCTCCAGCACTTGTTATTTCTTGTCTTATTGATAACAGTCATTATAACAAGTGTGAGGTGTTATCTCATTGTGATTTTGATTTGCATTTCCCTTGTAACTAGTGATGTTGAACATCTTTTCATGGGTCTGCTGGCCATCTGTATGTTTTCCTTAGAAAAGCATCTATTCAGTTCTTCTGCCTATTTTTTAATCAGATTGTTTTGTTGTTGTGGAGTTCTATGAGTTCTTTATATATTTTGGATACTAGTCCCTCATCAGATGTGTCATTTGCAAATATCTTTTCCCATTCAGTTTGTTGCCTCTTTGTTTTGTTGATGGTTTCTTTTGCTGTGCAGAAGCTTTTCAGTTCGATGTAGTCCCATTCAGCCCTGAATTCAAGAAGGTGTTTTCCTCTGGAGAGGGACGTGCATGAAGTCAGGAAGGGACACACAGGGGCTTCGGTGCTATCAACAACATTTTACTTCATTTTGAAAACTCTGATGCTATTATGAAAATATTGAGATTTGGTAAAGCTGTTACTGTGTACAGGAACGTTGATCATATTGCATTGAAAATTGCCTGTATGAAATTGATCACTTTTTTAAAAGTGCACATTTGCTCAGGGACATTATGTCAGAAGGCAATATTGGAAAGCAAACGTGACTTGTAAAAGATGAGGGCCCGGTCCACCTTTCTCTTGAGTTACTACTTTGGCACATGACCAAAGACTAGTTGATCCCAAACCCTGGAAATCCCAACCCCCTGGCCAGGGCATGTGGTGTCAGAGATACATTTTGAAGAAGAGCATAGGTACCAACACCCTAGAAATCAGAGGTGCTGGGCAGGGAGAGCAAGTACGGACTTGGTACCCAATGAGGATGCCCAGGGTGGTGGCTAGACAGCCTAAGGACACTGAATCCAGAGAAGGGACAGTGGGGCCCTCTGACCAGCACTTGGAAGTGAGGAACTAGAGGAAGAACTGGCGGGATCATGGAGACCATAAAGGTGGATTTTATCTGCTTCATGACTTGGCCTCCATCCGTCTCTGGTGCTGATCACAAGGCGGTTAGACCTGGCAGGAACAAGTTCACCACAAATCCTCTCACTGGGGAGGTTGCCTTGCAGGCGATGTTGTTACACATTAGTACATACTGGTCATTCCTACTCTCAGAACATTGTGTATTCTTTGAAATAAATAGCTCAACAGTCTTTATACTTGGATGAACTGCAGAGGCTCAAGCCATGAGACTCCATGGGAAAGAATTGTCTTATTTCTTCAGTAGTAGAGGATAAATGTCATGCCACCACAAAAGCTGATGGCAAGCTCCAGATAAGCAAGTTATGCCTTTTATGATCAGAGCCCACAGCTGAGAGCAAAAGGGTCCTTCTCTTCTCTGCTTTTAAATGCTCTAAATCTCTAAAATTTAAGTAAGCTTAGTAAGCTTAAACTAAATGTTCAGTCTCTTCTATAGCTTTATAGAGATGCTGAGTACAGGCTTCACTGTCAATTCAGATACATTGTGTTACTTGAGGATCAATTGTTTGGATGGAGCAATTTTGGAATGAGAATCCTACATCTGTATAAAAGCATCGAAATGCACTTTAAGAAAAATAAAGGGCTACTTTTAAAAGCATGTGTAAATAGCAAATAAAATGATATAAATAGGCCTATGTCCTCACTAAATGGAGATTCCAACAGACAGTGTATTTCCGTGATGAGTATGGAGCGAATTCTAAAAATTACAATATGGCAATCGTACTTCCCAAAGGACAAAAAAACAGTGCCAACTCGGAAAATCTTCCCCTGCAGCAGTAGCACTTACATATAGAGAATTTTATGTGTCAGTCTCTAGTTCTTTCTTTTTTAAAAAATCAAATTTTACTCGTCTTGTCAGATTTCTAAACTAATACCTTCAAAAGTGGTTTCTAATGAAGGAATTAGTATTTTGCTAAATGCTTAGCGTCTGATTCTGAAGTGCTGTACCATGCAGAATAGTGTTTCACAGTTTGGTTTAAATCAGGGCCATCTGATCAGAATCATTTAAGTTGTCAAACTTTTGCTGAAAAGGGCCGGGCCAGATAATGTTTTAGGCTTTGCCATAATGGTCTCTGTTGCAAGAGCTCACCTCCGCCCAACATCGTAGTGTGAAAGCGGCCATAGATGATTCATAAATGAATGAATGTGGCAGTGTGCCAATAAACCTTTATTTACACAAACAGGTTGTGTGCTGGATATGGCCCACAGACCATAGTTTGTGAACACCTAACTCAGAGCGGTGTTTTTCTTTTCTCTTTTCCTTTTTTTTTGTTTTTTTACTGAAACCCACACTAAGAAATATATATGACATCAGATTCAGCACAGATAGCCAGACACACATACATACACAAGAAAAAAGTATTCGAAAACATAACTTGCCCTTTGTGCCAGGAATGCACTCTGCTAATCTCTTTTCTCCTCTCCACTTTTCTTTTATTTAGTTTTATAAACGCTAGGACTGACCACACTAATGATTCATCACCTACAGAT